GGTCCCTCCTCCAGAGGTTATTTCTCATCCCATCTTTTCCAGGGACCAGACTCATTCCCAAAGCTCAACTCAGCACCAAGTTGTTATGCGTCTTCCTTGACCAGGGCATCATGGGGTCAACTGGGGCACAGTCAGGTCCAAATGGTCTTGCACTGAAGAGTTCCAGAGCCTGGACCTTCGATGAGTTATTTTTTTCCATACTTTTAGCGATTAGTTCACACAAACATCAAGCTCAGCCCTGACTCATTTCTAATGTCCCATGTGCAGCTCATGCACTAGCCCCATAACATCCAAAGCTGACCTCTCACATTTCTCAAATCTATTTTATTATTATTATTTAAAGCAGCTGCTTACCAGTGATAGGACAAGGGGTAATGGGTACGAGTTGAAACACAGGAAGTTTAATCTCCATGTGAGGAAGAACTTCTTTCCAGTGAGGGTGACAGAGCACTGGAACAGGCTGCCCAGAGAGGTTGTGGAGTCTCCTTCTCTGGGGATCTTCCAAACCTGCCTGGATGCCACCCTGTGCCACATGCTCTGGGTGTCCCTGCTTGTGCAGGGATGTTGAACTAGATGATCTCTAGAGGTCCCTTCCAACCTCAACCCTTCTGTGATTCTGTGTGTAACCAAAATGATGTCAGTGTTAGGCAGAACTCTAAATAGTTTGCTAGAAATCCAAAAAAGAAATTTTCTAACCGAAAAAGAGAGAACCATCTCAGCAGAACAGAAAAAGAGAGAACCATCTCAGCAAGAGGGGCACATGCCTCTTTGCCAAAAGGCTGGCCAACCTGGTTAGCAGGGCTTTAAACTAGGTGAGAAGGGGGAAGGGGAGTGTCACACAGACAGGGTGATCAGTACCACACAGTCAAAGTCAGATGGCATCCAGTGGGAGTATGGTAGTGGGGAAGTGAGGATAGGATATGATTATAGAGGGTCGTCTTTTACCCCTCTTGGGGAACCTGCCGGTTTGATTACTTCCCTGAAATGCCTGTACACCAATGCACAAAGCATGGGGATTAAGCAGGAGGAAATAGAGATCTGTGTGCGGTCCCAGCCTCATGATCTCATTGGAATCACAGAGACGTGGTGGGATAGCTCACATGACTGGAGTGCTGCCATGGAAGGCTATGTGCTCTTTAGGAAGGAAGGCGAGGTGGTGGAGTTGCTCTTTATGTGAGAGAGCAACTGGAATGCATGGAGCTCAACTTGGGAGTGGAGGATGAGCGAGTTGAGAGCTTGTGGGTAAGGGTTAAAGGGCAGGGTAATGTGTGAGACACTGGTTGGTGTCTGCTACAGGCCACCTGAGCAGGATGAGGAAGTTGATGAGGCCTTCTATAGTCAGCTGGATGTTGCCTCACGGTCACAGGCCCTGCTTCTCATGGGGGAGTTCAACTACACCGACATCAACTGGAAGGACAACACAGCCAGGCACAAGCAGTCCTGGAGGTTCCTGCAGAGCGTCGACGATAACTTTTTGACGCAGGTTGCGGAGGAGCCGACGAGGAGCGGTGGGCTACTGGACCTCGTGATATCAAATAGCGAGGGCCTAGTAGGAGATGTTAAGGTGGGGGGGAGCCTCGGCTGCAGTGACCATGAGTTGGTGGAGTTCAGGATCCAACGAGGAGGAGGCAGGGCTGTAAGTAGCCTTGCAACAATGGCCTTTAGGAGGGCCAACTTTAGCCTCTTCAGAGACCTCGGAAGAATCCCATGGGCTAGAGCTCTAGAAGGAAGGGGGGCCCAAGAGAGCTGGTTAGTTTTCAAGCGGCACTTCCTCCACG